AGGGGGGGGGCGCGGGGTCTGCCCAAGGCCGCCTGGCTGGGCTGGACGGCTGGGACCAGCGGCAGGGGCAGACCAGGGCGGCGGGAACTTCCCCGGCCCTCCAGAGCCTCTGCAGTCTGCAGTGAGGGAGCCGCAGGACGGATGCCAAGGCGAGCGGGCCAGCGGGGCGGTGGCCCCAGGACTGCAGGGCCCAACCGGCCTGTGTCCAAGTTAGTTGTGCTGTGCAGGCCGAGCCCCTGGCGCTCTCCTGGGGCCCCTTCGAGGAGGTCTTCCAGAGCGGCTACGCTGGGGCCTCGGCTCTCTGGAGCAGCCTCCCTGGAGGCCTGGGGCAGGGGCTCCCCTTCCTACCCCCCAAGGCAACCTGCCCCACGGGGTGGGATTTCCCACCACTGGACCTGCTCCCAGCGCCAGCCCCTGTTTGAGGCCGGCTGGGGAGGGGAGTTGGGCTCCAGCACCAGCCAGAGGGCAGAGGGCAGAGGGCGGAGGTCTCCCCGCTTGGTGTCAGGGCAGGCTCGGCCCCCCTGGCGGAGAGCTGAGAGCGGAGGCCCAGGGCCTGGGGCCAGCACTGGGCCGCTGGCCTGGGTCTTTTCACCCACCGGGCCCTGTGGGCATGAATGTTGGGGTGCCGCTCCAACTTCTTCCCAGTCGCCTACCCGGGCCAGGGGAGACACCCTGCCAGCCGCTCTCCAGAACCCCAGGCCCACCTGCCCCCAGCCCTGCCCTGCCGCAGGGCCAGCAGGGGTTCACCTCCAGCCCAGAGCAGAGGGTCCACCGCAGAGGCTGCCCCAGAGCTGTCTCTGGGCAGGGAGCCCAGCACTCTCCCAGGGCTTGGGGCTGGGGCAGGGCTGGGCCGGGAACTCCCCCGGCCAGAGCGTGCAGGGCCACACCGGCAGCCTGCTCCCTCCTCCAGGCTCAGCCACCTCCCAGGGCCTGGAGCCACAGGCCTGGGCTTCCCCCGGGCTGGGCCCCCTCTGGGGGACAAGCAGAGCAGAGAAGGCGGCGGCCAGCGGAAGGCAGGGTGCGCCGGCACCCTGGGGCTGGGCGCCCTTCTTCCCCCAGCCCCCTCGGCCCCCAAGCCTCCAGGCCCGGGCTGTGGCTGAGGCCACACAAACCAGTCCTCAGAAAGACCTGCAGCAATTGTACGGAAAGGAAATCTCCCTGAAATCGGGATTTTTAGTTCCCTTTCTTTCTTGATTTTTCTCTCAAACTGCAGACACTCAGGACCCCGGAAGCGACCAAACCTCCGCAGAAAAGCCCTGGCCGTTTCCTCGGACGCCGCCGCCGAGACAGGCTCTCACCCAGGACTTCCACCTCCCAGGAGCCCAGGGCCCCGGCAGCGGCCGGCCGAGTTGCGGGCCTGGCCAGACCCCCACGCACAAAGCCGCTGGCCCGCTGGCCCTTGGAGCCTCTATGTTAATTAAATATTAACAAAGGAGGAGGCAGAACAATGGAGCAAATTTCCAGTCTGGCTGGAGAAATGTGGGTCTGGCAGAGGCAGGCATATTTCTGCAGGAGGGCAGCCGAGCGGCCAGTCGCTCCGGGTCTGAGCCAGACACCCGAAAACAGCCACAGCTGAGGTTTGGGGGGCGGAGACCGTGTCCTCTCTGCCACCAGCTCAGGGCAATGGAGCCCTCTCCCAGAGGCGGTTCCGGCTGGCGACCTGCCTCGCTCCTGTGGCCACCGCTGGGCGGGGCACGGACTGGGCCCTCATCCACCGAAGACGAAGACGCGGGCTCCGCCGGGCTCCCTCCTGAGCTCTCTGCCACCGGCTTCCTTCCCCGCAGCCCAGGAGATCCCTGGGAGAAGGGCCTTTCCGCCCGGGGACTGCAGGCCGTCCCCGTCCCCCGCGGAGCCCAGGGTGGGCAGCGAGCGCCTGCGCCAGGCAAGGGCCCCCGCAAGGAGCGAAGGGGACTGTCGGCCCGGCGCTTGCCCGGTGGCCTGCGGCTGCGGCCACGCTCCGCTCCCTCTGGGGCAGCTGGTGCGGCCTCTGGAACTGGGGCAGGACGGCGCCAGCGGGTCTGGGCTGCGCTAGGGGCACCCCAGCGGGTCGGAGCGCGCCGCTTCCCGGTGGCAGCTCGGGTTCCACCCCAACCTCCAGGGCTAAGTCTGAGGGGAGCCCGCGCAGGAGGGGCGTCCTGCACCCTCCCTGGGGCCCAGCGGGGCCAGCCGGGCACACCAGGTCGCAGCGCGAGCCCTTTGTGTGGGGGAGAGGGGAGCCGAGTGCTGTGGTCCGCCAGTGCCGGCGGCTGCCCCGGCCGCCAGCCCGCCCGCCCGCCCGCAGGCCGCGGACCGCTCACCTGAAGAAGGCCGGTCGGAGTAGCGCGTGCAGTACACCCAGGCCGGCCAGAGCATGGGCTGCGCGCCCAGGTTGGCGCTGGCCTGCGAGCTGTCCGAGTCCGAGCTCACCGAGAGGTCGCCGCCGCCCACGCCGCGGGCCTTGAGCGCCCCGTCCAGGGGGCCCCCGGCGTCGCCGCCTTTCCTGGAGCCGCCTTCCCCGTCCCCGGGAGAGTCTCCGCCGCCGGCGG